TTCCCCCCAGAGCCCCGTCGTGGTGGTCTGCTGGCTAAGGTACTCGGCTGCTGACCCGCAGGTCGCGGGATCGAATTCCCGGCTGCGGCGGCTGCATTTCCGATGGAGGCGAAAATGTTGTAGGCCCGTTCGCTGAGATTGGGTTGCACGTGAAAGAATCACAGGTGGTCGAAATTTCCGGAGCCTTCCACTACAGTGTCTCTCATAATCATATGGTGATTTTTGGGACTTTAAACCCCACATAACAACATGTTCCCCCCAGAAACTACGAAACATATACGAACGTGACTGAAATCCGAACGCCGCCCAACAGCGTCACGTAGTCGCGTCTAGCCAAGTCTAGCCGTACTCAGAACTGTATCGGAACCTGAGCAACTCTGGCAAAAGCTTGGCATTGCTAGAAAGTTTCAGCCGGGTCAAACACCAGCTCCTTTGATGATTCCAGCTTTGCGTCACAGTGCAACCTGCGCGCTTTCTAAATTTTGTTCTGAAGGTGTGATGAGGGCTTAGTCAAGCTAATGATGATGTTGATGACGACGATGGCGGTGGGACAATGATGATGATGTTTATGATGATGATGATTTGTAATGATGAACGAATATGAGAAGATGCTGTACTTCAGTACTTGAGTTTGGGGCCACCCCGGGTTGGCACTCAACTTCAAGTTTGAGTGGCACCCCGCAAGTTGTCGGTACTTATAACCCTGCGTGCAGTCTTCAGATTGCACTTTGGTCTCCCCCTCGTCAGCTGCTATTCACGTGAATGCAGCCTTCCTTGAGTGTAGTGTCGCCATAGAGTAGAGTAGCAGCGTTCTTGCTCAAGTGGACTCTACGCTCTCACAAAACTCTGACGCCAGCCAGTGCACGTACGCCCACTTGCATTTACCCAAAGCTGTTTAGCTTTTTCGGATACGACCCCGGGTGAGAAAATAGCATCTGCAGTCGGGAGAAACTCGTCGGTGGAGCGAGCCACACCCCAGCAGGAGACCGGGTGTTTGCGCGAAAAGCGCGTCTAACGAGCCTTGCGGGAGAGTCCAACGTACTCATAGCGTTGCCCCACAGCTCACAAGTGGACGCCTAATGAGCCGACTGCCTTGTGCAAAATTCAGCGGCAGAGCTGCTTCGCACAGTGATGAGCCTGATGACTACCGGGCATTAAGAGAGAAGGAGAAAGGCGATGTTGCTCTGTAAGTTGTAGGTCCCATGAAAGAGTAACGGAGCCTCTGGCATCTGCAAACGCAGATATATAGGTAGATATATAGGTGTGCATGTCATTCATGCGCCGCTACGAGAACCTTCGTGAGGTGTGTTTACGCAGGCTGTACGTCACTGCCGGGTGGTGACTGCGCCTGCATATCTCCAAAATTATCATTAAATTCTATCTATCTATCTATCTATCTATCTATCTATCTATCTATCTATCTATCTATCTATCTATCTATCTATCTATCTATCTATATATTATCTATCTATCTATCTATCTATCTATCTATCTATCTATCTATCTATCTATCTATCTATCTCCGAAACTTTAGTGTTTAGAGGGCCTGCTTCGTGCGTTTGACGTGTGAAAAGTGTTGTAAACGTGGGGGCTTGCATTCGGTGACGTTGACCCAAAAGTGTTGTATAGTCTGAGCTATTCAGTAAGAACGCTCGGGAATACAGACCCAGAAAAAAGGGCCACAAAATACTTATCGCACTGATAACAAGCCCAGGTGCACCGAAATCATTTTAGGAGCTTAGCTCCTTAGGATCAAGCCATGTCCGCCATCGTTCCTCGATGACGATGACATTGATAACGATGAAAAAAAAACTAAGTTCGAGACCACACACTCTGTTTCTGCATCACGGCATATGGCACAAGCATGGGACCCACTATAAGCCATGACGATGACGCTGATAACGATGAAGATGATCACCGTGATGATCTCGGAGAACGACTGGCTTGGGCAGTACATGACGTCTTCGATGTTGTCTACGATGCATTTCGTTTGACTGGAAAGAACCAACAACCACCAGGGGAACGTGCACCGACCTCGTATTTGGCCACTTCAGGGTATATTCGATACCACAAAACAAAATAATGAGGTCAAAACGAAATTCGCAACGGAACAGAACATACCATTTATGACCAATAAGGATTGTATGTAACAGTACCCAGCCTTGTCCCTCATATACGTGCGTGAGTGGTCAATATCACCAATATCACGGGTGTTTCATGCCAGCATCGAACTATCCCACTGCATCGCCCACTCATCATCATTCACTACATGGATATGCCGAGATTTTTTTTTTCGACACGAGTGCCTTGACAGCATGTTCTCTTCTCATAATCATACATCCTTATCGCTTTAAATAAGGTGCTGAATAAACTTCGTGTGCCGACCAAGTTCCTGTAGAGAGCTGTTCGTGCAAAATGCTGCGTAGCATTTGAAAAAAAAAAAGGGTGATACTAAAAGTAGAGATGCAGCTCTATGCTTATCATAGATAATTTCGAAGGGCCGTAACTAGATTTTTGTGTTTACATGAAAGAATGCGCACTTTCAAAGGGGTTTATCTGCACCTGTTTTATTTTATTATTATTATTATTATTATTATTATTATTATTATTATTATTATTATTATTATTATTATTATTATTAATTTCCGTGCCACAGCAAGGATATGGTTATGAGGCACGTCGTAGAGAACAGCTCCTAAAAATCGGACCTTCTGGAACTCCCTAACGTACACTGACGCTACACGAGCCTCCAGCGTTCCACTTCCGTCTAATTGCAAACGCCGCGGCCGGGATCGAACGCACGGCCTTCGGTTCAGCAGCCGAGCGCCTTAAGCACTCCATCAACAAGGCAGACTCCACGGCAACAATGCAGTAAAAGAGACGTCCACGTTACCCGTCGCGGTGGTGGTCACTGTGGCAGCGGGGACGGTGAGGGCCACGAAGCGGCAGGGTGAGACACGTGATCCGCTCTGCGGGAAAGCCGGCTTGCGCGAGATCCGCCGGCTGGGCCACGACGCTATTCGGCTGAAGGTGCTGCGGCTGCTGCCACTCGAGTTGCGCGGAACGGCGGCCATTGCCGAGGCGCTGTGATGCCGTCTTGGTGCCGCGTTCTTTGGCTTTATTCGTGCGAGGAAGGTGGGGAAAACATCAGCGTGAGGATCGCGATTTTGCTTCTTACGCTTCGGATTGCTAGACAAGAACGAGACAAGCACTGCAAAACAGGTCGTGCGCATGCACCACCTGTCCTGTAGTTATGTGTGCTGTTGTCCTGCAGTTCTGTGTCCTGCAGTCCTGTAGTGCTGCCCTGTCCTGCAGTCCTTGTCTCGTCATCTCACAATTCAAAACGCAAGCAACAAAAAATCATGAACCGCCCCCTCAACTCTCCCAATTCGTCGCTCCGTGAAGATGAAATCGACTTATTTCAGCAATAGGGAGCATATGCTAGAGGGGACTGCGCCTACGAGCCGGCGTCTTTCAATTCACGCACAATGCTCCCAGCTAACCTTAACATGTCACCGCAGCACACTGCCTCGACCGCTTTCTTGAAAAGAATCCCGAGAAAACTGCTACCGCCACGTGCACTCCCGGCAACGACGGTGAATACAGAATGTCCTGTGTGACGTCATCTCATGATGTCATCACGTGACGTTATCGAAAACCAGGGGCTTAACTACAAGTGCGCCATCGTAGGCCCAATGCTAAGTTCAACGTACTATTTTTATGGTTAACTGTGTTTTATGTCTCTAAAAAAGAAAAGTTGTCTGACAGCCTTGCAATTACGAAATAATGACAAAAGCTTGCGACGTTAAATATGGGGTGGGAGTTGTTCTAGTACTTACTGCCCTCATCAAGTGCACTCTTGAAAAAAATTACCGCATAATCCCTCAGCTTCTCGAGAAAAGGGGAATACTTCAAAATATACATCGTGCGGGAAACCGCCGACGCACCGAACATGCGTAACCATCCTTCACGTTCACAAGGCTTCCAGCAAAAACACACCGCGATGGCGCAGTCACCATGATGACGGAGTGTGGAGCACGAGGTCGCGGGTTCGATGCCGTGCTCTCAGGTAGGGGAATCGAACCTGTGACCTCGTGCTCTGCAGCCCAACACCATAGTGATTAAGCCATCGTGGTGGGTTCGGTTCACGTCCTCGGTGAAGCGCATTCAAATTCATTCGGATCAAAAAACCTCGCCCACCGAACCTCGTGTGCCCGTTTAAGAATGCTAGGACCACTTTATTGATATCTTCAGTTTTAATCTTATGCGCCTTTCAGCGTTTCACGCCAAGCTCTAGGTGTACGATATGACCAACATCGGTTTCATTCAGCGATAGGTGTTACGAAATAGGCCGATCAAAAGTGAACTTGACAGCGCAGTTTGATTACGTGGACGTTCGTTCGCATCATGTCAGAGTATCAGCCATTACGAGGCTCTCAATTTGTTTTGTTGTACTTGTCTGTGTTTATGGCATTCTGCTGTTGAGCACAGTGAACTAAAACTACCGGATCAGTTCCAACACAATACCAACACACCTATGGCATGGCGTTTTAGAACTCGAGATCACCAGCTGGTTCTGCAGCAAAACGATTAAATGAAAACGTGGTCTTAGCCATGGATTAACGTTTAGATCCATTCATGATGGTACAATGCGGTTGGTGAAATCTAACTCATGGTCTATTCCACTAAAACGTGAATTATTATTCCATAAGTATTTATTTAATTTAGTTTTTGAAACATACTGAACACATGCGTGTGTGCGCGCGTAGGGGAGGGGGCTCAGAGAATTAACTCTCTTGTCTCTAGGTTGTGTTTTTAAGTAAAGTGAACGCTAATTGATTAGTTGGCTGACTAAAACATAAATAGTACGGCCACAGCTGCAAAACAATAGCCCACAGGATTTGAGTTGTTTAAGCACAGTTTTAATTGTGAGACGAATTCCAACTGTTAAAAAAAATAATCAATTTGAAGGGTTGTAAGTAACTTGATTGCCTCCTTCTTCACTTTATTGATCCCGACAACTCAGCCGACAGCCGGCTTCCCTGGCCTGAGGTTCTCCTTTCAATCGCGTATGTTTGGTACTGGGAGAGAACGCACAATATGCAGTAGACCTGCGGAAAAAAAAAACGGCCGAGTCACATATCATGTGAACACATCCTTGAACGAAACAAGGTTACATTGCGAGGCGCTTATTCGCACATGACCTCTATAAGTGACCAAATCAAGGCCGAACCACACGTCCGCTGCCCTAGCGCGAGCAGAAGCTGATGTGGGCGCTTGGACGAGACTCGCAAGAAATGACAATCTCCACCCACACATTATTCGGTAGTTCCAGCGACGCAGGCGGCGCCATGTGGCTGTGCTCCGAAGCTGTCACACAGGTGATAATCTGGCGACGCAGTTCGGTCTCTCAGTAGTCATGAACCAATGAAGGCGTCTTCACGCTCTGCGACTGCTGACGTGCACGCTCGTGACATCACCGTCTCGTCCGCCATTTTGACGTACCGTTGCGCCGCCTATAGTCGCTGAATGGTCGAATAGGCGCGCAAGTGTGTCCCAGCGCTCGCTCGCTCCAATCAGGCAGGAATGGGCAGGTGACGCTTAGTATTGAGCTGTTTATTAGCTTCAACGTTATCAATACAGAGTTTACCACTCTGTGTAGGTCAAGCTCGTACCGAACAAAGCCATACATGACCACCTAGCACTGTCAGGCTATAGTGTACATCGCTTCTACGCGCACGACACGTCGTGCATCACCAACAGGTCAGATCCGCAACGACACGATCCCGTAGAGTGCTGCTTTAGTATGCCACTCTCCGTTTGTCCATCTGACACAAGTTAAAGCTGTTTAAAAATACTAAGCGTGGCCTGATGAACACGAGAACCTGCTATAGAGTGTTTCGTGTATTTCGCTACGATGTGCACGGCGCCTCGTGCGAGATACAGTCAATCGATCTCATGTAGTGCTTTGATACGGTGAAATCTATATAAATAGTGCTAGTAAATTAACACATATGTCTGTGGTCGGACTTGTGTTAGGAACGTAAAATGTACGCCAAGATGAAACATTTGGCCGATTCCAAGTACCTGAAAATTGACGTTATGCGAAGCATGCGGAGGGAAGGTGACAGTGTTGCAATTTTTTTGCTGAGCGACATGTCATGAAATGACGCTGAATATATATACAAATGTTGCACGCACAGATATATGTTGAATAGTTGCAGATGTTTATAACACTAATTGTTTGCACTTGCGCAACGATGTCATCTGGAGCATTCGTATCAGCAAAACCAGAATTTGATACGAAGCGCTGATGCTGGCCCTGGACACTGCTATATAAATCAACTTCAGCGCATGGCAACTAACCACAGGTGACGCTAACCCGACGTGACGGCTGTATGAAAGGAGTAAATATGTAGTGTTTATAAAATCGGATAGGCAGCACTGCAGCCACTATTGACGTTTCACAAAGATTGGCATCTATTTGAAAAGTAGTTCCGAGACCTGGCGTGGCTTTGTGGTAGAATGCTTGACTGCCACGCAGAATGCTTGGGTTCGATATCTGCTGGGACCCTGAAGTTTATTATTTGAATTCGTCGGAGGGTCCGCGTTACCAATGTCAGGCTTTTCTTAAAAAAGCTATTTATTCTATGCCTTAGTTTGGTCGACGCTACAGATGTCGAGTATTGCTTAACGCTGACGCGTTAGAATTGCCCATGTGTGTTCTCGTCATTCCTGGCTAGATACTAAGTGTCAATCACATGTGGCAAATACCCGCATACCAGCGGCACATACCCGCCCATGTGTATGTACCACTGTTTGACGGGAAGTGTTTGACGATGTACGCGACGGGTTCATGACATTATTCATGTCTTGACCAGTGCATCATATTCGTCAAACCCTCTTACCCTCCCATGCTAATTTTGATTCACGCCAAGATAAGGGGGTGATCATGAGAGCACTCAAACGTAAGCAGATAGATAGATAGATAGATAGATAGATAGATAGATAGATAGATAGATAGATAGATAGATAGATAGATAGATAGATAGATAGATAGATAGATAGATAGATAGATAGATAGATATGCTCAAAGTCGCCGTAGTTCACTAAGAAATGCTTCGCATTCAAAGAAGGCAGTCTGAATTGGTTGCTACATGGCGCAAGCGCAGCCTCTGCAGAACACGCACAGCGCGTTTGGGCAGCGTACGTGTGAACCAAGCGTACGCTGCCAAAGCCTTCAGATAGACTAATGGTTTAAGATTAACTGTCGTTTCAGTGTTTTGTCGTTGGCAACGTCGGCTAAATGTTTGCAGCGTGATTTAATTTGAAACGGCCCCAATTCTCTCAATAAATGCTTTGCAATACGTGTAATGTAAACATTAACTTCCATCGCACTCATTACTGAATATGCGAAGTCACGAAGACACCAAACAGGGACAGTGTGTATGCTTAAAAATGAACACCAACCGTGGGCAGGCCATAATTGGCAAGAGTATAGTCTAGTGCTTTATTACACCCCTGTTTATAATCATATGGTGGTTTGGGACGTTAAAGCCCACATATCAATCATAATTACGTCCCTGTTTCTACAGTAAGAGTTCGCGTTTTGTTATTCAGTTATTAGACAGAAATATCAACTCAAATATGCGTATTTTGATCAGAGATTATTCGGGGGCAGCTCAGTTTACGCATTTCATGGTTGGCGGGAAAAAAAGTCTCTATATATTCGCAGCCTCGGTTTAAGTCACACTTGATTTCTCAAGCAAAAGTGACAGCTGACAAATTGCAATTCCTCCCGATTTTAAGAAAATATACTCCGGTCGTTTGCGATTACTAATTAGAAATGCGTGAATGTTGGTAAGGCTTCTTTGAATAGCATTGTATCGTGTGTGGATTACTCCTCTTGTAGAGGGGAATTAGAAGAAGTTTTACCGCAGTGCTCTTCCTGATTCATCTTTTCAACTCCCGCCCACGGAGGCATATGCCATCAGTGTGAAAACGAGGCATTATCAGCGCAAATACGAAGTATTACGGAAAAGGGGGAGGGGAGGAGGTGAGCTGCTCTCTTGCACCATGTCTCCCTCTCTGAGGGCACGCCTATGACTGCAGCGCAATTACACGGAAACACAATAAAGGCACTTGCGCTTGTGTTCATAATCATTTTTTGTGTGTGCGTTTATTTGCGCTACAATACTGTTCAAAAAGCTCAAGAAGTAGTTTCAGCAACTTCTTCGGAGTTGATTCTGCTGTAACGGGCAGGTGCTTTGATCTGGTGCAATCTTTGTAAAGCAATCTGTGAAAAGTCCTATTTCCGAACGTGTGGGCCTTGAGTTGACTGCGGTACTTTGAATTTATTGTCATTATTTCTTTTCCATTCTCGTTTTACTTCTAGAACTAAGAAGCAAACAACTGTACAAAAAGAAGGAACGATGGCGACCAGATTGTTTTTCAAGTGGGATTTGACTTGATGAGATTGGGTGGGTCTGTAGAAAGCTAAAGCTGGAAGTGGAACTGTTCAGATAAATGTAGGCAAATTGAAGCACTTCAGACAAAAATACTTCAAATATTGGACGTGCGACACGTATAGAAAACAAGGCCACGAGCATTCATAAGTTCAAGTGATATCCTCAAAATCCTTTAGATACGTGTGCACTCAACAGTGACCACTCAGACTGCGAAAAATAAAAAAATAATAATAATGAACAAGTTTACAAGAAGCACTCTGATTGTTTTAAAGGTCGGTGTCGAAGAAAGAAAGCTCTCAGTTATCAGGATATATTGGATGACCTCCAACAAGTATCGGATGAGTCGCCAGAGATCAAAGGGTAAATGTTTCTGCCGGGGTAACGACAAGTCTAATTTCTTTTTCCTTACAATGAAAGCTTCGAAGGGTGCTCTGAGCAGCCATGAGCTTTGGAGAAGTCCGCGAAACTTAGGAAAATAAAAATTAAATCATCCTACACACCCATTCATCGGCTCGTTGGTTCTTTATATAATAAGTTAGAATAAACCACAACCCTACTCTTTTGTTGCGAAAGCCAAATTGGATGGTTTCGTAGCCGTCCCTTTATTGCATTCGATAGTGGTACGCCCGGGACTTTCTTTTCAAAGTGATATGCACCGTCTTTAAGGGTCTCGGAATGAAAACCGGGCGTATATCGAAGCTGTGCCGGTCTTCATGTAATTGGTTCAGTATTGAAGTCATCTGAACGTTCTGGCTCATAACATTCTTGCTTATGCGGCTCTGATTCTGGACAGCATCGCAGAGATTCTACGTTGAAGGCTTAGAACATGGCATCGAGTCGAGTCCATACTCCAAAAAATCCAACGTGTTTGTGCGAAGTGACGCGACCTCTTGTCGAGAAGAGAGAGCTGTAAGAAAACAAGATAATTGTTAACTTGTTTTAAAAGCGTTTTTGCTGTTACGAATATAGAAGAACCAAATCGTTCGCCTTAAGGGTGCAGGAAAGCGTCTACTTGTGGGAAGATCTCCATATCCGGTGAGATATGAGCTATCGGAGCATAATGCTCAGCCGCCATCCTGCTCAAGAAGCAATGTAGCCGGCATCGTGTTTGTCTCTGATGCTGTCTTCGACAACATGTGTCCCATTTTTTTAGCTGAGAAGTGGAATGGGCTGTCCTTTTATCTTCCTATGTTGCCACTGAGGGTGAGTATTGAAACAGACCCTCTGTATACTTTAGTGCACTATCAGGAATTTCACTTGCTAAACTTGATGACAGTTGCAATGAATACAGTCCCCACAGAAAGAAAAGCTTTGGGACAAGGATTGATTTGATAGATTGATTTGTGGGGTTTTAACGTCCCAAAACCACCATTTGATTATGAGAGACGCCGTAGTGGAGGACTCCGGAAATTTTGACCACCTGGGGTTCTTTAACGTGCACCCAAACCTGAGTACACGGGCCTACAACATTTCCGCCTCCATCGGAAATGCAGCCACCACAGCCGGGATTTGATCCCGCGACCTGCGGGTCAGCAGCCGAGTACCTTAGCCACTAGACCACCGTGGCGGGGCAGGGAACAAGGATAGCTTCTAATTTCGTGGTCATTATCAGGACTGCACCCCCATATCTCGCGAACAACATTCGCTATCTTCTAATAGTCGTTTTCACCATCTGCACAAAAAAACTCTGCTTTACTTTGATGGTAGGCTACCCTGCTAACAATTGCACCTCGTTGAAGCAGATTGTCCGTCGTGATTTTTTTTAGCAAACAACATGGTACGATGACTATAAAAACTACAAAAACATTACTATTTAGCCAGGACTCTGACGGTGACTAACCTGATCAAGATAACTGCACTATGCTGTATTACTTATGGGGCAACTTTTTTCCTGGTGAATGAAACACTGAAAGTGCTATAGCGGAACAATGACAGCAGCCAGCGCGGTCATTCATCAGAAAAACACGTCGCCTTTTACATGCCGGATTGAACCTTCCCACATTATCGCTAGTGATCGCATCAGCTTCAGAACACAGACAACTATCTGCGTTGTCATAGAATATTTTACAGCGCAACAGGTTAGATACCGTCCGAGAAGCGACCCCTTGTGCTATAAAATATTCTACGAAGAACATACCCCAACTTACCCAACTCGCGATTCTGCTTCAGCATATTCGTGTCGTGCTCGCATCCTTATCAAATAGTCCTAAACAAGTGTGGAGTTTCTGAAACCAACGCCTTCTTTATTTCTTCTAATCTCAGTGCGAACGCGCGCTTCTCAACGGTAGCCCTCGGTCCGCCTTAGTTCAGGCAGTGGTCGTGATGTGACGCTACATGAGGGGTAGCGCTGCTTGCGTCACACGTGCTTCCGAGAGCTTTCCTTCGGAGAAGCGATAGACGTGTTTCCCACTCCGATATCATGCGTCTGTCAGATTTATTCATTCGTGCTTCTTCTTTGTAGCTCTAAGATATGCCACCGCTGCATCACAGTGCAGCGCGTGCACTAGCGTTGCAGTGACGCTTCCCCATTGACTGCCCACACAGCGCTACGAACAGCGACACACTATCTCAAAACAACGTATCTTCTACAGCGCCAGCGTGACCGCCAATATTGTGAACACGAGGAATGCAAGATGCCACCTCGCGGATCTGTACAAGACTGAACAAGAAATTTCTCCATATGATTTTCGTCGTAAGGCACTGAATGAGGGTTTCTCTCCCCCATGAATGCAAAGCACACGCGAAGGCTAGGCGTTGGGTGAGAGCAGGAAAAGGTCACAGGAGAGGGTGGTAAACGGCTGGATCGCGCGCATCTGGCTGGCATTGATAAAATAAAGGGAGCATTGCTAAAACATTCTGGCGCCAGCAGTGCCGAGGGGTGGTAACATGCATACATTTTTTGGGGACAGTCAATCGATCATAAAGAAACAAGTGCACTTGACTCTATACTGGTGGCGTATTTCGCAAGCATACAGGAGGCAAGAAAGACAGACACGAAAGAGTGCTAGTTTCTGGTGCCCTTTCCTGCCTCTCTTCTTTATTCCTCCGCAGTGCCTGCGCAGTACGCAACCAGTTCTCTACGAACAAAGAAGCCTGCAATGTGTTAACACGACACAATGCTCTCGAATTCATTGTTCTTTTTTTGGCAGTTTTCACTCTGTGCGTGTGTCGCTCAAGGTAAAATACCTTCTTTACGGCCAGATTTATTCAACTCGTACAATTTCTTTCATCCAACTACTCCTCTCCGGAGGACGCAAAAGGCGGAATGTTTGACGAATTGACTGCTCCGGTGATTGGGACACTTGTGTACTCGGAAGGCGGAAACATATTAATAGGTGAGTTGTTTCCTCTTCGTTTGTTTTCAGCTTGTGACCTTCCTACTGCTCCTAACTGCACCGGTTTCGATTTTCTGTCGGGGAAGCATCTTACCCAACTTAACACTGCAAATAAGCACTCATATGAACCTTCTGGTATCGTGTTCACTTTGTCTATAGTGCGACAACACCATCTTATTCTTGGCATTGGCTTCATTTTTGACTATTCACAAAGAAAAGGAGCATAAGCTGTACCACCACAAGAGATACATTTGCCGTTCGTTTATATTATGCTTTGCTTGAAATATTCTTCGCATTTTCCATTTTAGTAATCTCGTACGCGCTTTCTCAGTGTAAATAAATGGCGGGTGAGTAGTTATTGTTAATTATGCCTGTTTTTATTGTGGGGGCTAAATTCAATATTGAGTTGCAACCAGTTTAACCGTATTGCGATTTGTTATAGAATGCTTAAACTATGAAGTTTTTAGCTTAATTCACAGTCTCTGATGTATCACACTACGCACACACGTCAAAACTGAACATTTGGTGACGACTTACGTTGATGGAACATAATGTGTAGTCCGCAATGTACATGACGATCACAAAAGCGTTGACTTTCTGTAAAAAAAAATTTAATCATTGAAATTTGCGAACAAATGTACTGTGAAAGACCACGTGGGCACATTGTATCACCATTGCGAACATGCTTATATTAGTGCAAACGAAATCTAAAACAACTTTGTAGTTAAACATAAAGTACGTTGATGTAAAGAAAAAGCGAAGCTTCGTAGTGACCTCAAAGTGATTTGCAAGAGTTAGTAAGCGTTAAATTTAAGTTTCGCCGCGCATCGGACTGTGCACGTGAGAAGCACTGCGTGCGTTAATAGTGCGTGTCTAGCGTGGAACTGTCGAACCCAACACACATACGGATGTAACGGATGCCGTACCATCAGCTCACTAACGTCATCCGCACTTCGATTGACATGCTTCTTTACCAATATCCCAGTACAAGTTTTCTGATGAGATTCGTTGCACATGCATATATATTTTTTTCGCAAATATACACACCAACATAATCAGGAAAAAGAAAACACACAAGGCTTGTGTTCGTCGCTTAAGCTTTAGCATAAACAGCATCGATTTGGGTCATGTAGTTGGCAACTTTGCTGCGTCGTTTTAAATACTCTGCGAAGGAAGTTGTGCACCTTCTATCGCTATTTCCTTCTTCGGAACCTGCTTTTACGTATATCTAGATTTTTCATTTTGCGGGTGGTTATCTCTGTGGAAGTACCGCGTGCGGAAGAAACGAGGAAAACAAGACGGCGCCAAGTAAAAGTCTTCATTTCAACTCATAAAACACTGTTATCTTTTAATCTTGTTGGGCCAAGCATCACAGCTGTTTTGCTTCAAAAAACAAGTGGAAATGTGCGGATTCATGTACACAACAGCTTTACCGAAAGGAATAACACTACTTAACCATGACTTTTACATGTTCACGTTGTCATCGTAAGTTGTTCTTTTTTTTTTCGTACTGTAGTGTCTCATCTTAGAAATAGACGCAGGAATTCGCTTCCTCCAATTCAATGCATCGTCAGCGCGTAATGATTTGATCCCGCTGTACCGGAAGGCTGCTACGAAGCAAACTACACAAAATCTAACACGTACTTACGAGGTCTCTGATGAAATACAGCGACAGTGCGACGTCCAACATGGTTGTGATGGGCACAATTGTTAACCAAGGAATTAGCAGAAGCCGGTTTCCCTGCAACAATGATCGAAATATTGTGGCACTTATGTCCGGGACGTTGGAAGGGCAAGAACAGTTATGTCTCGATAATACAATAATAGTTATTATAGGCGTTTTACGCCTCAAGGCCACGATAGGATTATGAAGGGCGCCGAAGGGAGAGCTCCCGAAATTTCGACCATATGGAATTCTTCAACGTGCACCTAAATATCTCTTCACGCGCCACTGTCACTTGGCTTTGATCGAAATAGGGCCACCGCCGCCACCGGTATTTGGTCCAGTGATCTTCAGTTCTATAGTCGAGCCCCATAACCACTATAGACCATCGTGGCGGCTCAACTATATACAGTTGTTAGTACGCCGAATGTAAATCAGGTACATCATAAAGCGATGTTGAAGCGACAGTAAATAACAAAAAGCCAGAGAGAATAAAGGGAGAGGAAAGGCAGGGAGGTTAACCGAACTTTGGCTCGGTTGGCAAAAAGCTATGCTGTGTACTGTTGTAAGTACCGCTTTAAGCTATCTTTCGTTGCTATGCTATGCGATTCACTATTCTTACGTGCAATAGCACTGTATCGAGTTATACGTTGTAATATGCTCTTTACTATTGCGTAACAACTTCATTACTGTCTGCCTGGGTTGCCAGAGCTTTGTTCTATAAATTTCCGGCTTTTCTAAGGCTTACCATTTTTCACTTCGTGTATGTGGCGGTGAAAATACATTTTTGATTGATTGGTTGATTAGTTGATTGATTTATTGGTTGATTGTTCTGTTGATTGATGGCACTTCGGCTAAATATTAAGTAGGTGTGCTCGTAGTCAAGAATCATAGCATCTGCTTTAACTCAGGCTGGGTTATACTGTTCCCTGTAAAATATAATGAGGCGTTATTCGAAACTTATATCCTGCTTACAGTTATTCCTTTACTATTATACATCATTATATCATTAGTATGCTGTATTTTTATTACAGCTCGACAGCTGCCCTGAGAGACCCGGTGCATACTTCACGCATTCTTTCAATAACCCTTCAAAAATTTAAAGGGGTAATTCATTAGGCAATTTATAAGACTTTGTTAGCACGAGGAGTTTCTGGACCCTATGTTTCTACAAGCGGACTTGTCTTCAGAGTTGCAGACTTAAAGAAGCACAAGTCCGCACGCTGAAATGTTGACTCTAGCGATGCCTTATCTTCACGGATGTTTCATAGCTTTCAGAGGAGGAATGATGAGGACAGCAGACAAAGCGCTGTTTAATTCAAGCTTCCAAACTGATTCACTGAAGAAGTTCACTCAATGAACTAGTGTGAACGATTGAACTTAAGACGCGAAATTCGCGACCGTATGCTGCATAACTTACGAAAAACCAAGGCCAGGAGAAGCACCACTGAAACAACAATGCAGAGCCCGGAAAAACTCAGGAGCACAAGGATCAGTGAGAAGCCCACTGGAAAGGAAAAGAAACAACAAATATTTAGGATTAGTCACTGTACTCAGTAAAAAAAAACAATTATTTCTTGCTTGCACAAAAGTTTTACGATAGCTTTTCACGTAAACAAGAATTAGTGAAAGAAGGAAACGCAGAGAGGTTAAACAGTGTATACACCAGCTGGCCTACTTTGAACTGTTCATTGCCTCTAAGATTGAATGCGCTTCAAGGAGAGAAAGAAAGAGAATATGTTGAGCGAAATAAATGGAGGTCAACGATAATTGCAGTATCCGGTTGCACATCATCTGGTTGTGCGCTGTCTTCCTGATCCACCCAGGTTTGAGCAAGCGTCGATGTCATGTGATGACGTTATCCCGCGACGTCGGGTTATTGACGCCATGAGGGACGTCACACATTTCGGTGCGTCATGATGACGTTGTGTGTCGACGTCATAACGTGACGATTATTTGCATCACTCGTGTTGACGCAGAGGGAGGCAGATGGTACATTTTCGGTTAGACGAGGCTTTAGGGGTTTTCACCCAAACAAATAATGCGCATAAGCACCATGCCAGGCGGGCTATGTTTTGCAGCCTGTCGCAAAGCCTGCCAGAATTTTAACCCATTCCAGGGATGTGTTGAAGGAACAGCCAGGCGTCACAGAATGCTAATTGCGTAATGAATGGGTGGTCGAAGGTACAACCTCCCTTACAATAGCACTACGCATAATTCTCCATCTTTGTCAGCCACAGCATAAAAGACGCACGAAATTTCTTGCAAGTGTGTTGCAGGTATCACACTTGTGCGAAGAATGATGATTAGGATCAAAAACTTTTTTCTCCCTAAAGTGGGAACCGGCCCAGAGGTCAATTACGCTGCTTAGATTAGGTCACGCAGGTCGGTTAGTTGGTTCCATAGAGATTCTCACAAAACTTTTGTGAAAAACTATATGATGCTTCCTCAAATTCTTGGCACAACTAACTTCGTGGGATAGGCCATGAATAGGGCGTTGCCGTGCTTATTAACCTAATGCACTTCCTTAGGGAAATGGTTGAAAATGAATTCATGGGTCATTACAGGTCACAGATTAAATTGTAAAAGTTTAAGAATGGCGTAGTGAATGCCTGCCTACTGCACAAAAATTAGAATGATTTATGGCATAGTGGGTACCCTGTAAGGGTGCGTGTAGCCGGTACCCAAATAGTTTTTAAAAAGGGCTCTGTGAGGCTGCTCTTTCAGTGTTTTCTGACACTAGTGGCTTGTTTTGTTTTGTTTTTTTTGGAGGGGGGATATTTCCAAACAATTTCTCAGCCCCACAGCACTCCTCGGCACTTTTGGCTTTCTTTTTACCAACTTATTTCAGATTTTTGTTTTTTCAATTCTCATCATTGACTACATTTTTTTCCTTCAACTATTTCCTTCTGTTTTCGCAGCTGGACAACTAGCACGCTTTGCACCATATATTAAGCCTTGCCTTGTGTGTGCTGCAATTCCAACTCCATTTTTCGGCAATACGAATGAAAAAAGTATGTTCTCTCTTTGTTGCCAAACTAGAAAAAAAAAAGCTGTTTCTCACCAGGCGAGTGGAACATGGAACTGACGTGGGATCCTCCTGTAGCGACCAGCATGGTGTAGAATATCTGCAATGGTCAACGTACATGTTATAGAACCACCATTACCACTAAGCATGCTTAAATCCCCATAAATATTGGTGAAATCTGGGTCTCCCCTATTATCTTTTCAGTAGGCTCTCTTCAATTTCATTAATGGAAAAATAACACGAAGAGAACGAAAATTCGTTTGGTGAAAAAACATGTGCACGAATAAATAGATAACTTATGCCCCAATCTCTAACGAAAGGCGGAACAGTAGGAATTTGCAGTAGCGTAAGTGTAACGCAAAAATATCCGTGTACGCTATATTGTTTCAACGCTCTAGAGAAATCCCTCCGTTCACGTTTGTCTTTGTAACAAAGCTTTTTCTTGCAGGCTGATGTGATATTGAAAGTTATAGAACGAATAGCACGACGAAGTCGAGTGGCGTCCTCCCGTCATCTGCTTTGTTCAAGCGTTGGTTGAAGCCCAGATTAGCTGCACCAACAAACCGAGTCGAATACTGTTATTTGCTTCAAACGACTCTAACTGCCGCAATGAATAAATTCGTAAATACTAACTGGTGTAGCTATAGTTGTAGCATACAAAAAAGGCAGTTCTCTTCAAAGTGAATGTGAATACAGTTAGGGTGCCACTAGAAAAGGGGTGGTGCCCAAAAACTCCTTTCCCTTATGCATGATAGTATGTATGGTTGTATGCGTGCGTCTGTATACATGCAAAGTAAATTTTTCGGGGGGTGTTTGAGCTCTGCCAACGTACTCTCTGTCCACCTCTATTCACTCCACTCCTAACAACTGCAACACCATCAAGATAATAATAATAATAATAATAATAATAATAATAATAATAATAATAATAATAATAATAATAATAATAATAATAATAATAATAATAATAATGGGACAAAAAATGGCTTCCTCTAGCGGCGCTATAGCCCCGCCGCGGTGGTCTAGTGGCTAAGGTACTCGGCTGCTGACCCGCAGGTCACGGGATCAAACCCCGGCTGCGGCGGGTGCATTTCCGATGGAGGCAGAAATGTTGTAGGCCCGTGTGCTGCGATTTGGGCGCACGTTAAAGAACACCGGTGGTCGAAATCTCCGGAGCCCCCCCCCCCCCCTACGGCATCTCTCATAATCATATTGTGGTTTTGGGATATTAAACCCCACATATCAATTAATAGAGCGGTGCTAGAAGAGTTTGGCATAGGGTGCCACATCAATCCTACTCATTCGACAACTTAACAATGGTGGGATATAGATTTAACCTCGACAATGCCAATCAGTGTTTTTTAACCAGAAACTCATCGGTAAATGTAAAGTTGCCATGGGGATCAGCAGTTTTTGTGTTGCGGGGTGCAAAGCCGTGTTGCATCGCGGCGGATTGGAATAGCAAGCTTAAAGGATCGATTGATATGTGGGGTTTCACGTCCCAAAACCACGCAATGATCATGAGAGACGCCGTAGTGGAGGGCTCCGGAAATTTGAACCACCTGGGGTTCTTTGACGTGCACCCAAATCTGATCACACGGGCCTACAACATTTCCGCCTCCATCGAAAATGCAGCCGCCGCAGCCGGGATTCAAACCCGCGCCCTGCGGGTAAGCAGCCGAGTACCTTAGCCACTAGGCCACCGCGGCGGGGCAAGCTCAAAGGAATGCGTCGCTCGGCTTGTTGGTTCGTAATCTTAAGCCTTGGATGAGCGACATCGACGAGGACAGGAACATAGAAACGCCCTGTGCTAAGTTTCTGTGTTCCTTCCTGTCTTCGTCGATTTACCTCTTCCAAATTTCAGGAATATGAAGCGGTCGTGTCGCTTGATGGGAGAGGGGAGATGTTGCTGTTTCTAGAAGTGGGCAACTGCCCGTTTCGCAACCTACTTCTGACGCCCAGGGAAGTTGCTATACCAAATTATGTAAATAAGCACATGTACCGTTAACTTGTACAATAAAAATATTTATTACGCAACTGCAGCCACACTTTACAAACAAAAATGCCGTGTACAAGCAGAGAAAGAGAATATAGAGAACAAAAGGTTCGCAAAACAGCACTATTCCGGTAAAAATTTAAGAGTGGTTATTTTAAAAGCAATGATAGTTTGATAGCTGACTTGCAAATAAATGTATTTGAAGAACAAGCTGTATTCAGTGGTATCAAAGTACGCGTGACCCATGATTCCTGCTTAAAATTTTCAAAAGAAATTTTCTCGTAAGCTAATATTATTGAGATTCCTCATATAATCACCACCAGTATTCTTGCCTAATCTACTGCAGGCAGTATAAAAATTAGCTATCTGCACCAGTGGACTCGTTTGTTTAATCGGGTTAAGACTGGTTTATTTGAGTTAACGTTGCCTGAACAGTGAAACCATCCAAGTGCTTCAAGCAAGATGGAACTAGAAATAAAAAAAGAAGAGAAAGGAAGAGAATCAGACAGAATAATGTACAAACGTGACACACTTGAAGTCTATTCAGGGGAGTGAGCGAGGAAAATGGCATGGCTCACTATGGAGTGTTGACGTGCGAAGCTCCTTGTCTAGTGAAATGCCTGAACGCGAGGTGCCTTATGCGCTTGATGAGTCCCGCAAAGCTCGAAGCGTTACCTCGAAAGCAGTTACAAAGTGCACTTTGGTCACCTGTCGGTGTCGGAAAAGTCTTTCGGTGGCAGTGGTCAGAGGGTTCACTGGTGTAAAAGGAAGATTACTGAGGTAAACGTCAACCTCCCCCCCCCCTTTTTTTTCATGTTTTTTTTATGGCGCAAAAGTTTTCAATATCTTCAGAATGATTTGAGACCTCTTTTTTGATACAAAGTAGTCTAAAATTACTCGAAGTAGGTAGTTTGAGTACTCTATTACGAGGCAAAGCAGCCTCAAGGTACTCAAAGCAGTTTGAGACCTCTATCATGCGACAGTGCAGTCTCAAAGTGCGAGAGACCTCTCGTTTGAGAGACAGTGGGCTTATATTATTTAAAACAGTTTGACACATCCATTAGGCCGCAAAATGGTCTCAAATTACTCAAGAAGTACTGGTACCTCTAGATTGAGATAAGCTGTTCGTAAATTGTAAAAAGTAGTTAGAGTTGTCTATTATGAGACAAAATAGCCTCAAAGTACTCAAAATAGGTTTAGACATCTATGATGAGTCAAAGAAGTCTAAACTTACTTAGAATAGTTGAGACCTGCATAATCAGACAAAGTCGTCTTTAGCTAGTCAAAGTAGTTTGAAACCTCTAATAAGATGCGAAGTAGTCTCAAAGTAGTTCGAGACCTCCAATTTGAGAGGAAGTAGTCCCACATTATACAAAATGGCTTTGATTGATTGATATGTGGGGTTTAACGTCCCAAAACCACCATATGATTATGAGAGATGCCGTAGTGGAGGGCTCCGGAAATTTCGACCACCTGGGGTTCTTTAACGTTCACCCAAATCTGAGCACACGGGCCTACAACATTTTCGCCTCCATCGGAAATGCAGCCGCCGCAGCCGGGATTTGATCCCGCGACCTGCGGGTCACACTTTAAAAAAATATCGAGTAAAAAGGGTGTCTTTTTGTCCCACATCAATAATCATCATCAGGCTTGCGTGCGCTTCCTTTCTTGAAAACTCGGCGCTGGCCCCTTTCCTATCGAGAATGCAATGTAACCCTGATAATGGGCATGTCAATCGTGACCGGAATGTACCGGGCGCGGGGCGATAGCGCAAGGATGGAACGTAATATAGGTGACGATTATTGTTGTGGGACAAAAAGACACCCTTTTTACTCGCCCTTTTTTTAGAGTGCAGCAGCCAAATACCTTAGCCACTAGACCACTGCGGCGGGGCATACAAGTAGTTTAATATGTCTATTATGAGACATCATTGCCTAAGATTACTGAAAGTAGGCTTAGACATATGTTATGAGGCAAAGCAGTCTCAAGTTGCTCAATGTATTCTGACACAACTTTTATGAGACGAAGTAGTCTTCAAATATAGAAAGTAGTTTGAGAAGAGTACGAATATAGTTATTCTATTTCTAATTGATTAAATCCAGGGATTCCTGCGCATTTATTTCAAACAATGGCTTACTGAGGGAATTTTTTACTGCTACTCTATTGTTTTGACCTGCTAAATAATTGAATAACTTTTATGGCGCTTCGCGGTTCACCAGACTTCGAGTTCTCGTTCGTTCTTGCTGAGTCGAAGTATGCCACGAAAAAAAAATATTATTTAGATTTTTTGGGGCGGTGATGTTACTTACTGGAGACCGTTGTACAGAAAACAAGCAGGACCTTCCTGAAAAACGCAGGTTTTTATTTCTTTTTTTTAGTTTCTTGGCAGAGCCGGCAAAATCGATCTTTTCTAAATAGCCTCAACTTGCGCCAGAAGATTGGTTATGACAGACGCTATAGTTGGCAACAACTTTTTTTACAGCGCCATGGAAGCAACAGAACCTGCTTCTACGTCAACAAAAGAGTACTTAGTTTAGTGATAATGTTTTCATTTGCATTGCGAAAACAAATACTGCTTTAGCTTTTATCAGTCAGATTGAAAAAAGTTGTCCTAAGAAGAAGGAAATCATTACTTTTAAAGCATAGGCATTTATTGCTATAGGCAATAACACTGCTGGGGAAATCGTAGGGAACAAGTTTAGCTCTGGAGAGGAGAAAGAGAGTTCAGTTGGAAAAGTGGCTCAATTCTTCCACCGGAAAAAGTCTACACATGTCTCAAGGGTGTCTCTTATCTCCAGCTTATTTCTAAAGTTTTTATGCGTGGAAGAAAATTTATTCCAACACAACACGCTACAAACGACTAAGCGCTGAGGCAAGCATTGTATCAATAGAAGAGTAAGATGAACTGAAGACAGTAAATTACATATGCACGAAACATTTCCGCATAAAGGTCGAAGTCCCTCAATATACAAACGCGCAAGAATGCAAAAATGTTCCAAGGAGGTATTTCACTATCCACATGCGACAGCTTCGACCAGCCAAATACGCAGAACCTTGAACTTGAAACGGAGTTCGCAAATCCATGTAGAGCGGTCTTCGGTCTCGTGGCAGCTATATATGCAAAATACTGTTTACGAAAAGCGCACTGAGGCAGTAGCACGGTGGATAAGTTTATAGATTCTTCGCCAGCATAAAGAGACAGCTTGATTGGTGAGACGGAATGTTTTGTTTACGGCTCACGGCTGGTTATTTTTTCACCCACTTTTCTTTCTTCTTATTTACATTCCATTGGTTCTAATAACTTCCCCTGTACATTTCTTGGCATTACTGTCTGTTAGATCTCATTAATATTGTGTCAAAACACGGAAAAACGAGCCCTTAGGTATAAACTTCTTTCCCTTTTAAATATATATATATATATATATATATATATATATATATATATATATATATATATATATATATATATATATATATATATATATATATATTGCAGGAAAAACGATGATTTTACGCCTCAGTTTATTCATTCGTTTATTTATTTATTTATTTATTTATTTATTTATTTATTTATTTATTAGAATACACTCAGGGCCCGTAGGGCATTACAGAGGGGGTGGGTACAACATATATAACACACAAAAAAAGACAAAATAAAGAAACAAGTGTCAGATGCGCAAATCAGGAAGGCAACATAAGTCAACTAAAAATGTATAAGAATTCAAGCACATACAAGACAAAGATAGATAATGGAAACTGCGTATAGTTACAAGCATTGCTGAGAAATTGCAGTCTTGAATAACAAAGGGTCTGTTATTGATACAACGGAAGAGGGAAGGTGGTTCCAATCGGCGGCTGTTTTCGGTAAGAAGACTGCTGAAAAGAATTTGGTGCGGCAAAACGGAATGGCAACCTTATGCTGATGATCAATGCGCGATGAGTGGTATGACGGTTGTGAAATGAGGTCTCGCTTCATTGATGGATTGTGAAAAAATATCTTATGAAAAAAATGCAGTCGCGCCAGTTTCCTCCGGACAGTTAAATTGGATAGGTCAAGGTTAGATTTCATTTCTGATATGCTAGCAGTACGGGAATAATTAGAACAAATGAACCGAACTGAGCGGTTCTGAACAGATTCTAACGCGTTAATTAAATTTGCTGCACGGGATCCCATATAGCGGACGCGTACTCAAGCTTTGGGCGAATTAGTGATCGGTATAATAGAATTTTGAGGGACAGCGGAGCGCGAGAAAAGTTGCGGCGTAAGTATCCTAGCGTTCGGTTAGCGTTATTACAGATGTAGGTAACATGCGTGTGCCAAGATAGATTGTTGGTAATGTAAACGCCGAGGTACTTATATGAAGAGACATGCTGGAGGGGAACGGCGTTAATTCTGTAGGTACAGGGGGGAAAAATAGATCGCCGGGTTATTGACATGCATTTAGATTTGTTAGAGTTTAGAGTCATAAGCCATTTATTGCACCAGGTTGAGACAGTGTCAAGGTCTGACTGTAGAAATGGGTTATCATATTCATTGTTTATTTCGCGGTAAATTACACAATCATCTGCAAATAACTACACTTTGTAAATAAAAACAGAAAAATTGATGGCCTTTATGCTTTCGCTGGTCTCATTATCCTTTTAATTATTTGACTGTGTTTATATTAGAAAAAGCATCTTGTTTCACTTTCATTCCGAGCATTTCGTTTTTAGCACAGATAGCATTATTTCTTCAGGGCCTCTGCAATCACCCGAGTTTCTGGGCCGTACCAGGATGGTAACAATATACATAGAGAGAATTAAATATTATTTCCCGGATGTTAGCGGTCACCTTAGTCCGGATTATCTTGGGCTTTAAGTGACTAATAGGCTAGCTCTGTTCCGCGTTTTGTTCTAACCTGCTTGCTGTGGAGAGGTTGACGTATACATTACCCTGGCCACTCAATTTCTGGTAGTTCTGCAGTGAAAAAGGAAAGTGGTAACACAAAATAAAAACCAACAAGTAAAGAAACATACAAATGCCACGCTGAAACATGTTATATTAGCATGGTAATGCACATTTTCCTTGCAAGAGTTCACATTGCATTGAAGTGTCTACGCACACCTTTCTATTTTCGTCAACAGTATATAAATGGGCACATCATTCTGTATATAGCAACGCATAGCTGTTCACATCAAGCACTTATGTGCTCAGCAGCTTTCTCTGGTCCTCGGCATCAGGTCTTGTCCACTTAATCAGTTATTGAGCTACAGAAGAGTGGATAAATTGCGTTTTTAATTAAAAGTAACGCACTAATTAATAAGCATACAGAAGGACAGGACAGACGCCGTGCAACGTTTGAAGAAAAAGTTTTATTTGGGGAACAACTGATACACCAACTTTCGCAAAAGATACACAGAGCAATCTATAAAAGTAATTTCCGTCAATAGATCGAGAATTGAGAAGGAGCCTGACTGAAAAATTGCGCGTGTTCATTTATATTCCTGCTATCGTTCTTACTTCGATTGAAGATTTAAGCATTATATGACACACTGAGAGCAAGCTTACTTACAGACATGGTGTTCTGAAATAAGTTTGTTTAACATGCCAGAATAGCATGGTTCCCTTTGGCAGCTACTCTTTTTCTGGTGAAAAAAATTCAGGTTGGCTGCATAGCTACTTTCTGTCTACTTCGTACCTATACTTTGGCGCATTTTGTTCAAAATATTCCTGTTATTGGCGGTAAAATTAACAAGCAAGCCAAACACTGCTTGATGTTTCCGAGATAAATTAATTAATTTCAATTTACTAGTGGCTTGAACAGCAAGCAATGGGGATAAATATGATGCTTTTATTTGAATGCTCATGCTTATTAGAAATTATAATATTGCTGCTAAATAATGAAAACACTAGTCAAAATTCACTTTTGGGTGGCCCACAAATTAAGTGAAGAATGAGGTTCAATGGCTACTTCAGCTGCATTTAACCTAAGATTCGGTTGGTTTTCAAATATACCCATTGGCAACACTGCCAGTAACAAAGCTTGACGTAGTAGGGTATCTAAAGACAACAATGTTTGTAGAGGTGACATGCAAATGAAACGTTTTAATTAGCAGTCAGTCAGTCATCATTACGCATTATTGGTCATAAATTTTAGGCGCAAGACATAATCAATCTGTAAACTGCACGAACCTTCCAAGCGGACGATTCCCCGCCGCGGTGGTCTAGTGGCTAAGGTACTCGGCTGCTGACCCGCAGGTAGCGGGATCGAATCCCGGCTGCGGTGGCTGCATTTCCGATGGAGGCGGAAATGTTGTAGGCCCGTGTGCTCAGATTAGGGTGCACGTTAAAGAACCCCAGGTGGTCAAAATTTGCCGGAGCCCTCCACTACGGCGTCTCTCATAATCATATGGTGGCTTTGAGACGATAAATCCCACATATCAATCATCAATCCAAGCGGACAATGGCGAGCGGCAGTAAGAAGAACAGGCCGCGACGACACGCCATTGCATCACATATCACTGTTGTCAGAAGAAGCCTCTCGAGAAAAAAAAAAAAAAAAGAGAGCCCCACTCGATGTGCCACAAGGAACGTATCCCCAGTCATATTTACCAGTTACGAACATAGTTAACCACAAATCCAAACTACCCGAATCGTCTGCCACAACGTATTGAACAGGACGACAAGACTGAGAGTCCCAAGACTCCGACTCACGAAAGTGTAGATGCCGCAGGCGAAGCTTCCTTTGCGCACCGACAGCCAGCAGCAACAGGAGCGCAGCAGCGCCATGACTCGCGTACACGGAAGTGCGACACGGATCTCGCAGGACAGCACCCCGCGCGCAGCATGACGCGTCGTCGGCCTCGCACGCTAAACGCACGCGTCCGCTCGCTGCGAGTGCGCCTCAAGTGCGAAGTGCCGCGAGAGTGCACCACCGAGTCTCCGGAGCTCAAACGCCACCCTGCGCCGATCGGGACCCTTGGAGAGGAGGAGGAGAAGAGAGGATGAAAAGGAGGAGGAAGAGAAAGAGAGAGGGACATTAAGAAAGACCGAAAGCTTTCCACACAGTCGAGTCGTCCCTTACCGGTGGCGCCACGCCAGCCGCCTGCCCTCTTACTGTGCCTTTTTATTTCCGTATCTTGCACGTGCTTATATTTGTTTTTATTTCGCTTAAGCGTTGGGAATGCATCAAAGTTCAGTATTCCAGTCAGCCCAGAAATGTTCCCTAATGTACTGCGCCTTCCCGTCAACCTCTTCACACCAACCGCACCCGCTTTGCTCTCTTGTACTTTTTGCTCTTCTCGTTCTGGTTCTTCTTCTTCCTGTTCTTCTTCTTGTCCTTGTCCTTCTTGTTAATTCTCTTCAGCTTCGGAGACGACTAGGGCATCATCGCTCACTATTGTGTGGTCCGCTCTCCAGCGAAAGCTCCTCGCTTTACATCTATCTCTAAATGCATTGCCGTTGCAAAAACATGATAAGGCGCGCGGTGTACGCACAGCTTAGCACGAACGTGCAATAATGCGAGCTTCATCGCAGGCTTTTGCGTTCAGTTCGGCGTCTTGAAATGTCTCGGAATGTCACACTGCGTCGTTGAGATATGCGGAATAGTTGGCACGAGTTGCGTTTACTTAGGGAATCCAAGACTCCGGAGAAAAAAAAAACGTGATACGGTGGCAAATCTCTTTATTTATTTATTTATTTATTTATTTATAAATAGGGGTTAGATGCCGAGCAAAGGACACGGACGTGATATTACTGAAGTTACCTTTTATTTGCAAGTTCGATAGTGTTTAAAGCTGGGAGAGTTAGCGAGTGATCATCATACCGCGTAACTCAACTACTGTAACTAGGACATGAACATTCAGGTAATGTCGTGTCCCTTTTGTCCATATGTGTAACTGCGCAAAAACGGGTGGAAACGAACAAAGGAGAGAAAAGTACAGACTGCGCTAGTCTGTCCTTTTCTCGCCTTTCCTGTTTCCGTTCGTTTTCACGCAGTTACATTGTGGATCATTACCAAATCGCACAACTAACCATTTCTCTTTTGTCCTCGTGTCATTCGCTACTTAAAAGTTGTAGTGCATGACAAACATGAATGCCACAACGCATCTCTAGAAAGAAAACTACTTTCTAGAAGACCTATGACCTATAACCAGAGGCAGGCACGATCCACGCTTCCAAGCGGAGGCGGCAAACAGAAAACAGCTCATTCGGATATCTCCATTTTCAATGCTTTTCACAATTTTGTCGTTTCGGATGTCTGTATTTTGAAGGCGGGAATAACTTTATTAAAGAAAAAAAAACGGCAAGATGTGGAAGAATCGTCTTCTTCCTCTAGGTGGCGGCCATGAGTCCTTGCGCTCTGGCGGCATCCTCGGCTTGCCGAAAGACTTCGAGTTGCACTTCTTGGTCTGCGCTTAGCAGTGCGGTCTCCCACTGCTCTCTATTGCTGTATTACTTTAAGTATTTTTTTCGCTGCAGCTGTGCACTTCATGTTGACAGAGCTTTCGAAGATGCATCTCACCTTACATAGGAGTAACGTAGTAACAAAACTAAAAAAATATTGAGGGAGACTTAAATTTCTGTAGAAAAAGCTTGTAATAAACAAAATTTCAATGGTTTTAGCTTGAGAATAGGCAGGGTGAATGGGAGGGGTGGAAGGTGTTGTACAATCTCTCGTTACAATTGTGTGTGTTTTTACATGTGCGCCTATACACACGTACATCTAAATGATGAGGAAGGAAGGAGGGTAAAACGCCAGAGTTTAAATATGAGTCGAATATGCCATTTTAGATTTCGCATTTTCTGATTACCATATTCATAAAGATAGATAGATAGATAGATAGATAGATAGATAGATAGATAGATAGATAGATAGATAGATAGATAGATAGATAGATAGATAGATAGATAGATAGATAGATAGATAGATAGATAGATAGATAGATAGATAGATAGATAGATAGATAGATAGATTAGATAGATAGATAGATAGATAGATAGATAGATAGATAGATAGATAGATAGATAGATAGATAGATAGATAGATAGATAGATAGATAGATAGATAGATAGATAGATAGATAGATAGATAGTAGTAGATAGATAGATAGATAGATAGATAGATAGATAGATAGATAGATAGATAGATAGATAGATAGATAGATAGATAGATAGATAGATAGATGAGATAGATAGATAGATAGATAGATAGATAGATGGATTGGGATAGATGGATAGATGGATAGATAGATGGATAGATGGGAGATAGATGTGTGTGTGTGTGTGTGTGTGTGTGTGTGTGTGTGTGTGTTGTGTGTGTGTGTGTGTGTGTGTGTGTGTGTGTGTGTGTGTGTGTGTGTGTGCAAAATTACGAAATCACGCAAGGAAATATATAAAATCCCGACTTCGACAACGTCTCTTATTGTCCCTGAATAAAATAATTGACACTGATTAAGCCTTTCAAATTTATAGTTTCCTATTTCAAGCGTTACTCGGCACGTGCGCACCATTTATCTTTCTTATTCCCGTCTTTCAGAAGTCCAACCTCTACCATACAGTGCAAGCAATCTCGTGTTACCAATTCCCAAGACACGGCGTCGCCGATTGTGCGGGCTTTCGCTCCATCTGCCTAGACCGGAGCTTGAAAAGACGAAGTTTGTCACGTCTTTGTTAAAAGGCGGTGCGCACGTATAGAGATTTTTAAAAAAATCTTATGCTCTAGCTCAAAGAAAGCGTACTGATTTGCATATCAAACGGACCAGGCTCGCATCGGGTTGGCGGAGTGAGGCTTGTACATTCTGTACGCATATCAAGTTATTCTTTGAGATATTAAAAAAATAAAAAAGCCACGAACACGTGGAGGCGTTCAAGTGAAAAATCTGCGTACGCATTTGAATACGTCACATTCCTACTCAATGTGTTGGGCTTCTGACTCGCTGAACCCAGGCGCCAAGCTGTCGTGACGAAATTGGTAACCTGTTAAGTTTGTTTATTAAAGCTTTTTTTGCTGTGCGCGTAAGTGTCCATAATTAAAACTCAATTCTGGATCTCTGCCAACTCCTGCGATCAAGACGTTCACCCACAACAACCCAACCTCAACGAAATGGCTCATGATCGAGCACGAGAACTGACCCGCCGTGACGATCAATCAGCCACCGAAGAGCTGGGCCCAGACGTGCAGTTTAATGACCCACTACTCACCTTCCATGAAATTACCTCCCACTACCGACACAACAGAAGCCGATACCCTTTACCCCATTCAAAATTAGAACGCGCGCAAGAAGTAGCCTTTAGAATGTTACAAACGAGATCGTACCCATCACGGGGCCGACTCAGCCATTATAACTCAGACATAAATTCACAGTGCCCAGATTGCACAGAAGTGTACTGTTCACTCGCGCACATGCTCTGGCAATGTCCCGCGTTACCTCAGGGACCTCTCACCAGTGAGTCCGACTGGGAGGAGGCACTCAGGAGCCCCAATCTCCGAAACCAACTTAAGGCAGTCCAGAGGGCCCAAGAACTGGCGGAACGCCACCACGTTCCCGCCCCGACTCGGGCGTCGCCTTTAAAGATCCTTATACTCTCTCAGGAGAGTCGTATAACCCATAAGAGTTTCTTTGAAGAGTCGTACACGCGGAAGGCTGACCTAAAAAAAAAGCTAGAATATAGTAACTGTCTTTTCCTTTGCCATAAAACGTACCTTTGTCTCTGTGTCCAAGTGCGTATTATTGAAGAAATCGTCCACATTCAAACCAGTATAAAGACTTCATGAAAAATGTCCGATGAAGCGCATCATTAAGAGAAAATCGTACTAAAAAGTATGTTTTGCTTTCTTATTTTTCTAAGTGAGAGCTATGCCTGTGCCGAGCCGCGACAACTGCAACCTTGTACAACGCTTTAGAAAGTTGACCTACGACAATGTTGAGCCGTGCGCAACACCAAGGTCTTGGCAAAGTTTTTAGGGAGGCGATCTTGCTTGTAAAAACGGCGCCGCAACATTTTTGCTGCGTGCGATCACTTCAAATCGAAATTTTTTTTTTTTTGCTTTCTCAAAAGAGAACCTAACAAGAAATCACTCGGAAAAAAAATCCGACAGCAAAAAAAATGCAGTGGGAACTCTTATTTAATAAATACACAACAAAACAAAATATAGTTTAGTCGAAAAATAAACGCATCAACATAAGTTATAATCCTTACATTGACAAAGAGCATTATGCTAGCATGACACTTCATCCCAGAGTTTGAGTTTAAGCTTGTTTTTATCGCTGTTCGGGGATAATACTACAGTATTATCTACAGTGTACTATGCTCTGAAAAACTAAGAAAAATGCGTCCTAACACTTGTCTGACTTTTTCATAGAGCTCATTTAGAAACCTCTTCCTGCTAAAGAAAATTTTAACTGTATTGTTCAGGCAAGAACTTCTGAGGGTCCCTACATTGTCGCTAAGCCAATTCTAAGGCAAAATAAAACTGAGTACATTTGACCAGCCGGGCCTCATTATGGGCTCATTGAGCTTCCTCTGGCGTAACAAAACACTCTGCCGCAATAACGTCTCAAATATCAAAACTATAGTATGCAAAGAATAATGTCCCCTTTATGTGAAGTTCTCCAGCCATGCATTATGTTTATGAATTATCACATAAACAGATAACATGAGTGTCAAGACTACATAGCCAAAAGTCACATATATGTGAAAATTCGTTTTTAAGGTAACTTTATATACGTCTCATCGTCCAGATAGGTCTGAGGGGTACGAATGAACAGGGACGAAGGAACATTCGTACATTATGCTAGCCAGATCAAAATTTCTAACGGTCTTCCTGAATTGGCCTTGGCGTCATATGTGCCCTTGAAACCGCTGGTTGTTTACGCAATATCG